TCAAAGTGACCGCGTGAGCTTGTTGCCTTGGATTCGGTTCCATTGGAGATGAGAGTTTCCCCGAATCCTTAGCTTCAAGCCTACTCACGACATTTGAGATTTGGCTCATTTGGTTCTCTAAGTTGTGGATGCTAGAATTTGTTGTTTCTTGAAATTGGGCCATACTTTGTTGCATCGTGGCCATGTTCATGGCCAGTGCTCGAATCATGTCTTCGGTGGACATGTTCGAGTTCGATGTTTGGCCTTGTTGTTTATATTGTTGAGGAGGAGGGTTTGTTTGTTGAGGTGGTTGAGAATTTATGTACCTTAAATTAGGATGATCCCTCCATCCCGGATTGTAGGTGTTGCTGTGAGGATCGTACCTCCTTTGACCTTGGAATCCCAATGCATTGACTTGCTCGGGATTCTCCTCTTGTAATGTTGGGCAAGAATCGGTGGGATGCCTTTGTGTCGAACATATGCCGCAGACCTTGACTTCTTGGGTTTTTGGATTTAAAAGAAAATCTTTTACCAAAGAAGTCAAGCCGGCCACTTGACTTTCCAACGAGTTGTTGGATTTTGCCGCCATAACTCGTTTTGATGATGACCTCCCATTGTAACGTCTCGAGTTTTCGGCCAACTCCGAAATGATGTCTCTTGCTTGAGAAGGGGTTTTGTTGACAATACCCCCTCCGCATGCCGCATTCACCATGCATCTATCTTGATCAACAAGACCATAATAGAAGTAGAGGATGAGATCTTGTTCCGAATACCCATGATATGGGCAACTAGCACATAATTTTTTAAAGCGCTCCCAATATTCGTACAAGGTCTCATCATCCGCTTGCTCAATGTTGCTAATTTGCTTCTTGAGACTTGAAGAGATAGATGCGGGATAGTACCTTTCGAGGAAAGCCTTCTTCATTTGTGCCCATGTAGTGATACTCCCCGAAGGGAGATAGAATAGCCAATCCTTGGCGGTGTCTTTTAAAGAAAATGGGAAAGCTCTCAGCTTGATTTGCTCCTCAGACATGCCATTGGGGCACATGCTTGTGCACACAATATGGAATTCCGACAAGTGTTTGTTCGGATCTTCCCCTCGTAGGCCATGGAAAGATGGGAGTAGATGTATGAGCCCAGATTTTAGCTCAAATGTGACCCCCGTATCAAAAGTTGGAAAAGTGATACATAGGGGTTGTTGATTAAGATTCGGAGCCGTGAGCTCCCTCAATGTTCTCATTTCATTAGCCACAGTGATTGGTTCTTCGGTGTCACTAGAATGGGAACTAGCACTTGATGATTCTCCCGAGTCGGAGCTTGAGAATTTATGTTTCAACCGCTCGAGAGTTTGTTCTATTTTGGGGTTTGATTTGTAGGTGATTTTGTTCAGTGAATGATATTTAACCATATACTACAAAGCTCAGAAAAAATAAAAATCTTTATACTTCAACAATATATATTTTTTTCTTCTTTTTGTTAAAATAAAATAAAAAGAAAAATTAATTGTCTTTCCCCGGCAACGGCGCCAAATTTGACGTGCACTTTGTCACAGTGCGTCAAGATAAATCGATACTAACACTTATACGTATTATAGGTGAAGTAGAGTTCGTATCCACAGGGAAAGGAATAATTATCTTTTTAATGAAAGAAGTAAATAAAGGGGGGATTTAAATTGAGTGATTTAATTTAATTAAACACGAAGATGAACGAGTTATATGAGATTTAATTCAAGAATAAAAGGGACTTGGCCTTGCTACTTTCCACTTGTTGATATATTTTAGTCGATCATTGTTATATCTATAACTTACCCCCTCTCGAATACTCAATCGAGGAGTATATCCAATTCATCGAGGGTAGTTATTAACAACAACCGTTCATTAATAACCCTTACTATTAGTCAAGTATAGAACACCGCCATATACCGACTTGATAGTAGCATTTAATCTCTTAACTCCTTGATGAAATCAATTGAGATTGATAACCTCAACACAACGGTTTCGGTTTAACCAACAAAATTAATCCCTCTTAAGTTTATTAACCACGACCGTGCATCAATAAACCGAAGTTAATTACTTGTAAAACCATCAACGATTAACCATCGGTTCGTTGATCGTTTCTAGTAATAATTAATGTCGGAACGTTAACTAATCATCACTAAGGAACCCTCTAACATTAATATAGATTGAGATTAAGGGAAGCATTAATAATCAAGAGAAGAAGTTAAGAAAATAACTCACAACTTTAATAATCAACAAGCTTCAAGAGCAAAACCAAGAAATGGAAGTTGAGCTCCTCGTTTGGAGACTAAACATGCTATAAAAATATAGGAAATAACTATTCTAAACTGAGCTTAAGTATATGGAAGAAGGGATGAAAAATAGTGAAGGAAAAGTGTGCTATTTATAGGTGTTTTTCAACATCTTGGGTCGGGTACCCGACTGGGTCAAGTGCCCACCCGACCGGGTGCATGTCAAGATCAAATAATCTTCCACGTTCTTGTGTTTCAGCACGTTAAAATGTCCCGGGTCAAATCCAACCCGACCGGGTGAATTAGTTGACCCGACCGGGTCCAGCTCTTTCCTCAGAGGTTCGGTTTTCAAATCAGACCCGACCGGGTTCAGGGTCTGACCCGGCCGGGTTTTGTGCTCCTGGGTATTTTTGTCTTCAGCTTTTTCTCCTTTTCCTTGCTAAAAACTCTACCACTATTCTACAACTATAAATGGAAGCTAAAAACAATTACAAACAAAATAAAACAAATCTTACAAACTAACTAATAACGATAGAAAATCCACACAAAATAAATATAAAAACATACATTTATGCACTATAAACTAGTGTATATCACACAACCACCAAATGATGATACACGATACCCCTAAATTAAAACAAATGGCAATTACACATGCCATGACCACTTTCACGGTTGAACTTAACCACATAGTTCACGCACTTGTCAAACCCATTCGGCAATTGTTTGTCCCCGCTCACGTGATATGTTAGACCATCTTCACTATGTAGGTCACAAGAAAGCTTGCCAACCACTTCAGTTTGAAACTCTTTAAATTTGTCAAGGGTATAAAGTTCTTGAACATGTTTTTCCATGTCGTAGATACTAATGCATGGAATGTTTTTAGAAAATGACTTTGCATCAGCTTGAAACTCTAGTTCGACTTTACTTCGTGATGTCCGTCAATATTGTTCAACGAACTGTTTAAGAGATGTTTTTGAATTAATGTAATCATCAAAAAACGCATTCATGCTCTCACTACGTTGTGTGGTAGACATGCCTGCCCAAAATGTTGTCTTAAGATAACAAGGGACCCAACAGGCTCTTTCATTGTACATTGTTGTAAGCCAATCATTGTCTTGTAGAGCAAACCTGTAAAATTGAAATGATTTTTACAAATTCATTTAAGCTACACCGACCCTTTTCTGTCTGTCTGTGAAACGCAAAATGTGTCGGTAAGGTTTTTTTAGTGGCAGAAGGGCCTAGACATGAAGAGAGCTACACCAACACTTTCTGTCTGTGAAATGCAAACAGTGTCGGTACGGTGTCTTTAAGTGGCTGAAGGTCCCAGGCATGAAATAAGGTACACCGACACTTTCTGTATGTGAAATTCACAAAGTGTCAGTACGGTGTCTTTAACTGGCAGAAGGTCTCATGCATGAAATAAGGTACACCGACATTTTCTGTCTGTGAAATTCACAAAGTGTCGGTACGGTGTCTTTAAGTGGCAGAAGGTCCCAGGCATGAAATAAGGTACAACGACACTTTCTGTCTGTGAAATTCACAAAGTGTCAGTACGGTGTCTTTAAGTGGCAGAAGGTCCCATGCATGAAATAAGGTACACCGACACTTTTTGTCTGTGAAATGAAAAAAGTGTCGGTAAGGTGTCTTTAAGTGGCAGAAGGTCCTACGCATGAAATAAACTACACCGATACTTTTTGTCTGTGCAATAAACTACCTATCTGTGACACGTAAAAAGTGAAACTTAGTTAATGAATATTGGAGTGTACCTTTCGAGCATGGCTTTCCAATCTTCCTCAAAGGTCGTAATGTACTGAGAGTCATAAACGGCATCATGTATGGCTGTCATGATATTATCTTTATGTACAAGTCCACCCATCTTTTCAGGCAACTTCTTCATTATGTGCCAGAGACACCATCAGTGCCTTGTGTTTGGGAAAACGATTTGGATGGCATTTTGCATGGCCCTATCTTGATAAGTTATAATCCCCATTGGAGCATAACCATCCATACACTTAAGCCATGTTTTGAACAACCATACGAATGTTGATGTATCCTCACTAGAAATGATTCCACAACCTAATAACATCGATTGCCCGTGATGGTTAACACCAACAAACGGTGCAAAAAGGCATGTCATAGTGGTTGGTGAGATATTGTATCAAATGTAATCAACAACAACAACACCCAAGCCTTAATCCCAAAAGAATTTGGGGTTGGCTAACATGAATCGGTCTATGATATCGATGCCAAAAAGAGAAGATGGACAAGAAAGAGAAAAAAAAGTAAGCTAAAATGAATAAAATAAAGATAAATAAATATAAGATAACAATAACACTGGAATATAAGAAAGATAAAAGATCAAAAATAAAAGAGCATAAAAAGCTAGAGGATAAAAATAACATAAGAATATAAAAAGATAAGGAAGATAAACGATAAAAGAAAAAAGAGAGGAAAGGTAGAAAAGATCCTTCTCCAAAATCCTTGTATGCATGTCGACACCTATTGTCCGCCCAAAAAACATTACACAAACGTGAATCTTCATCCAAGTCAATCGTGAAGAAAAAACCTGGACATTGAGCTTGCATTTTTGTAAAAAAACCTTGGATGACCATTGCATCCCCATCTCCTAATCTAAGTTGTCGAACTTTTTCTATGTAATTCCCGCAGTCCTTTTCAATGAAAGGAAGTTGGTCATATCATCCAGCTTCTACAACCGCGGATTTGAAAGTTTTACAAAAACGTATTCCAACATCGTCATTTACATCGATTTGGTGCCTTATTTTCATTGTCAACTTCCTATAACAACGGAATAATCTAGACTTCGTGGGACTCATAGGATGATTATGGTTCAAAAAACTTGTGATATTACCCATGAGCCGGCATAATCTATCTTTTCTCTTATCCTCGCTAGGCAACCATTTTGCATGGAAGGTTGAGGTTTCAAACAGTTTTTCGACCTACTACCTTTTTTTCCTGCACGTGAGCACTCTGGTACAAACGCGATCAAGTTCCCTTCTTTATCCTTCTTTGAAGTGCGGTGTCTAACAGGAAAGCCAACACTTTTGGCATACTTTTTGTAGAAATCATAAACTGCATCTTTTGTAGGAAACTTCATGCTTGTCTTTGGAATGTGTTCACATTCATCACCAATGTTATCTCCATCTGTTTACATAATCAAATAATTATTTTACCTTAACTCATTCATAGACACGACAATAATCTTTGTAGGTATACATTATAGTAGTAGGGTATATATAAATAATATACATTAAAATAGTGTATGAATGTTTTCATCAATTTTTCATAAAATGTTGGATTAAATATATATTTAGTCCACCAACTACTATATGGAAATGTGGCTGTATTTTTAAAACTACGTGATTCTATAAATGGCCTACCTATATTTCTCACTTAAATATTTCTTGTTCTCAATGACCTGAAAATTTTTATTTCAAAATAATACAAAACAAAACAAAAATGACTTTGAGTTGTATTCTCAATGAGGATTTTTCAGTTGTCTGTGCATACCGACACGGAGAATGTAAGTTGTCTTTGTATGTCAAAGAAAATACCTCCAACATCTGCGTTTACATCAAATACACCTTCGTAGGTATACATTAACAACATTAATAGATACATACATTAACTCATTCATAGATATAACATTCATCTTTATAGGTATATATTATCTCTATGTGGATTGTTCAGTTGTCTGTCATACCGACACTAAGTATGTAATCTGTCTGTGTATACCGACACTGAATATGTAATCTGTTTGTGTTTCTCAAAGAAAATACCTCCAACATTTGTGTTCATCTTCTCCCTGCTATTCCCTTACCCGTCAAAATGTCATCATCCCGGTCATCGGTGATCAGAGCTTTGTTGCCACCCGTCTCACCTGAGTGTTCATCCCCAGCTTTGTTCGGAGCTCCATCTTCTTCGTTCATAGCTCCACTATTTTTGTCGTCCATGGTAGCTCCATCTTCTTCGTTTACAGCTCCATTATATCCGACGTTCACAACTTCTCCATTTCTTCCATTCCCGTCATCCGTCGCGGGTAGGTTTCGTCCAAATCTCCATCGTTTCCGGTCACCTCTCCATCCACCATCAAATATGCTAGAAAATCATCCATCAGATTTGAAAAAAAACGTCAAAGGCTAGAAGAAGAGAAAAAACAGAGTGAGTGAGGTGGGGAGAAAGCAACGAGCGCGAACGAGGAGGAGAGGGTTGTGCGTGAATGAGGAGAGGAGGGGTAAAGAAAGGCAGTAAATAATGAGTCTTATATATGGTGTACCCCAGGGTGTACACCAAGACTTTTTGTTCTCTAAATGAATAGCCTAGACCCAGCCCACTAAACCCCTGCATCGACGGCTTTCTCCTACGAAGGAAATTATATTAGTAAGGGTAAAATAGTCTCCTCATATCTATCGAGTCTCTTTTTAGAAATTTACAAACAAGGTCAGCTTTTTGTCCACTTCTTAATTATTAGTAATATTCATGTCCTAATCCCAAATATAATGAATGGTGTTAATTATTTTTATCTAATACTCCAACCTATTTAAAGATTCTCCTCCATTATTCTCTGGTTATTGTGCAATGTTCTTAATTTTTACTTTATATATCCAACTTTTATAAGTTACTATAGTTAATCTCTCTCTAGGGTTCGGCTCTATCACCGCCGCCTAGTGTAGCGTGGTGTTTTTTCCGTTTTTCGTTTCAGCCTAGCTTTAGGTTGGGACGGGAACAATGTTTAGGTGCTGGTTCTCTTGGCAGGAGTCGAAGACTGTAGCGGAGGGCGTTTTTGTTTAACTGCTTGGATTCGTGACTTGGGGCGAGCAACGGTTCTCACGCAGGTGGCAATTTGACAGACGGATTTTAAAAGCTATGGAGGAAGTGGTGGAGCAGTACAGAAGAAATGATTTGGAGAATACAAACAGTAATCTGAATTTTGATGATGAGGAGGAAGAGGTTGTTGTTCCAACCGCAAAGGCGGTGGAATTTCCGGTGGTAGGCATCATCATTACCGACCGGAAAGTCAGAATTCAGGCAGTACATGACCGGTTTACATCGCTCTGGAGGCCAGGAAGAGGAATGGCGGTCCAAGAAATTGATGAAAAGAGGTATCTATTCACTTTTTATCATACAATTGATATGAATCGTGTTATAGAGGACGGTCCTTGGCTGTTTGAGCGGAACCTGTTATTGCTAAAGGCGGTTGGCCCTAATGATATACCACATAAAATGAATTTGTTTGAAGCAGAGTTTTGGGTACAAGTGCACAATGTTCCGTATAAGTTTATGAATGTTGATACTGCTAGGATGGTGGGTAACTAGCTAACTACATTGGGGAGTTTATTCGTTTTGATGAAAGCCATTTTAAGGAAAAATGGGAAATGGAGTTCTTACTTGAGAGTTAGGGTAAAGATGGATGTGAGAAGGCCCAGAAAAAGGGTTCTACTTTGACCATGGGAGGGGAAGGACACTGGGTATATTTTAAGTGTGAAAAGTTATCAAGCTTTTGCTTCACTTGTGGGATTATGGGACACTCTAAGAAATTCTACCCATTAAAATATGTGGAAGATCTTGTTTTGGAGAAAAATTTTAGTGCTGATAAACAGGGGGGTCTGAGTCATCACAGGAGGGCTCAACAAGAAGATGAAGGAATTATGAGACAGGGACGCAAGGGGAGTACAACTGAGACAGAAAGTCAGAATTTAGGCAGTACAAGACCTGTTTGCATCGATCTGGAGGCCAGGAAGAGGAATGGCGGTCCAAGAAATTGATGAAAAGACGTATCTATTCACTTTTTATCATACAATTGATATGAATCATGTTATAGAGGATGGTCTTTGGCTGTTTGAGCGGAACCTGTTATTGCTAAAGGCGGTTGGCCCTAATGATATACCACATAAAATGAATTTGTTTGAAGCAGAGTTTTGGGTACAAGTTCACAATGTTCCGTATAAGTTTATGAATGTTGATACTGCTAGGAGGGTGGGTAACTAACTAACTACATTGGGGAATTTATTCATTTTGATGAAAGACATTTTAAGGGAAAATGGAGTTCTTACTTGAGAGTTAGGGTAAAGATGGATGTGAGAAGGCCCAGAAAAAGGGTTCTACTTTGACCAAGGGAGGGGAAGGACACTGGGTATATTTTAAGTATGAAAAGTTATCAAGTTTTGCTTCATTTGTGGGATTATGGGACACTCTGAGAAATTCTGCCGATTAAAATATGTGGAAGATCTTGTTTTGGAGAATTTTTTTTAATGCTGATAAACAGGGGGTCTGAGTCATCACAGGAGGTCTCAACAAGAAGATGAAGGAATTATGAGACAGGGACGCAAGGGGAGTACAACTGAGACAAAAAGTAGTGGCACAAAGGAAGAGAATAGAAGCAGTGCAGGGGAGGTCTCGGTTGACCAGAAGCGCAGGAGAGTCTGGAAGGATCCGGCAGAGGAAAACAACTCGGGAGAGGAGATGGCATTGGACAATGCAAAAAACGGGGAGGAGGCGGGTCTCAGCTCCTAGACCCGCCTCATGTGTTCGTGGGGTTGTGGATGCAGAAGTTCCACTGTGGTTTTTATTTTCTTGTTGTTTTTTATGTTTCGTTTCGGGTTCAGAATGTTGTTTTTGGCTTTTGTTTTGTTTGGTTGTGTAAGACTTTTGCATTAGGCTCGGATGATGATAGTTCTGTAGTAACCATTGTTGCATTGGCTCAATTATGCCCAGTTTAGGATCAGCGCCTGAATGCTTTTATTCTAATATAAGCACCCTTCATCCAAAAAAATATCCAACTTTTATCAGATTTATTTTTTTGATCAGGTATTATATGATTTTTAATGTAGTTTCTGAATGTGTAGATTTTATTTACTAAAAATTATTCTACTGGTGACAGGAACAATTTAACTTTACGGTCAGTTAAACATCGTAAACCGCGTGAGAACATTTAGCGAGTTCGAAACCCGCTAGGCACATAGTGGTTGAAACCCAATGGAGTAAAAAAAGAAAAGATCGAATACAAATACTGAAATACACACATGAATACAATACTAGTTGAATTTAAAATTTGTTATACCTCATTGAAACGAATTAAAAGATATTTTAATTAACAATTAAAGAGTAATTGTGTGAGATTGGTTCCGCTAACAATTAAAGAAAAATTACACTCCGTACAAATATTAGAGTTGAAGCTATAAAGTATTATACCAGGGACCAAAATATTGCGTTTCATTATTCATAGTAGTATCTGTATATTCATATACGGAGATTCATTAAAAAAGGGCCCCAAATCTTAGCGTCTCCAAATAGTTGGAATATAGATCTCCAAATTTCGAACTAAAATAATTTAACAATCTAATCTAAGAATAGTCAAATTCCATCTGGCATGCAATTTGCCAAAAGAGAAGTATACTCACGCAACAATGATTAAATAAGAAGAAAGAAAATGAGGAAAAAGTAACCCATATGTATTTAAATAAGAAAGGCAAAAGATTTGATGATTAATAAATTTAATTATCTACTAATAATAATTAGACTCAGAAATAGGAAGGAGGTAAAAGTATTCCCTGGATCATAGAATGTTAGTCTAGCAGCTCAGAATGTGATCAAAATGAGGAGTTTTGGTTTGCTATAGCACAATTAATGGCCGGCCCGGCCCGGCCTTCTCGGTGTATTAGTCGTCGTGCCTCCCACCGACGCAGCAGAGCCATTTACGGCCGGCAAGAGGTTTCCCCAGCCGGACGAGGTGGCCATCGGCTTTATTAAGGGACGTCTTGTCGGCGTTGCCTGGCCGTGGGTCCTTCCTTGCAGGGGAGTCCAGCTGGTCACGGCGGGTGGCAGACGGTGGCCGGATGCCATCTCTCTTTGCGTTCCGTGCCTTGTCGAATATGACGGAGAATTCTGTTGCGGCGGCCGGGTTCTTGACGTCCCATTCTCCGAACTTTGGCAGAGGCGCGTTCCTTTCACCCATTATGTTTCCTTTGAAACTGAGAAGATCGATCAGAGCCAAGAAGAAAAAGAAGGATCTTCTGCTCCTCTTTCTCTCTTTCACCCCCCTTTTCTCTCTGTGTTCTCCTAAAATGTGGAGTTTTCAATAAATAAATTGGTTGAAGAGAGCACCTGAGAATGCGGGAAGCAGTTCCATACTTTTATTTGCTTCATTTTTTTATCCCCTTTATTATTAGCTTTCTCCTCCTCTCCCATATTACTCTCAAATAGATTTTGCAAGTTTATTAAGGCTACATTTTTTTTTATCATCAAACACAATAATATACGGACTATTGGGGAAAATACATACATATGACATGCGAGTAAAACTCATACAAATTCCTAAAATATGACTTCTTAAGTTTCTTTACCATCTTATGACTAAATGTAAGACTTTGGAGAATTTTTAGAGACCAAAGTATCCTCAAAAATATAAAGGCACATAGACTAGGGAGAAAAAATAGACTGTTTCCTTTTTTTAAGGAGTACAATTAAGTCATACATTGAGGAAAAAACATGCAAATCATATTATCAAGCTACACAGTTTTTCGCTGACCCCTCGGCACGTGTGGTGGAATCGGGGCCATATGACGTTTTGTTGCGTGCGCCCGAGGGATGCTTTGTCGTCCACATTTTGTCGATGGAATTGGGGCTCTGATTTCCACTCCACCCCTTCGTGCTGGAGTACTTGCGGTACGTGAAACTGCCCCCCTGTCAGCTAACACCCAACAGTCACTCTTACCTGGCTGGCTTCCTTGCCCTCTGTCGGAGCCGGGGGGTCGAACCCACCTTGGACCAGTTCTTCCTTTCTTTCAATCTCTGCCGGGGGGAGGGGCATTCAAACGCTGGAGGCTTCGCCAACCTGCAGCAGGTCCCGGAGTTAAGGCTTTTTGATGAGGTTCCTTCGTCTCACAAGGGATGGAAGGACAAGTTCTGCTATATCCGCTTGGCGGCGAACCCATTTCTTGCCCCTCTTCGTGATAGCTTCCGGAGGCACCTGAAGGTGGAGAGTGCTGCCCTCGAGAAGAATGGGGGGAAGCTTGCCAAGAAACCGGAGGGGTCCGATAAGCACGTGCTGATTAAAGATGCCACCCTCCCGGATGAACTATATGATCTGAACTTCTGCCGGTACCGGCTGATGGGGGAGAAGGACGAGAGATACCCCCCATAGACTGCGTTTATGAGAGTGCTGGAGGTGATCCCCGAAGGCTCTTTATTTGTACTTTAGAAAATTTTTTGTAGTTTCAATTCTGTTTTTGTAGTTGATCCCCTCGACCTAATTACTCTTGTTATCTTGCAGGCGCCAACATGGATGTGAGGAACTTTGCTGGGCTGAAGAAGAAGTTGGCTAAGGAGCCAAAGAAGAAGGAGACGGGGACTCAGAAACCCGTTGATGAATTCTTCCAGAGGGATGGAGAGCCCTCATCGGATGTCCCTGCTGCCGTTGATTCTGCCGAGGCCGGAGGCGCCCAAGCCGCAGCTGCCAAGAGAAAGGCGGCGGGCAAAGCCGTGGCACCCGTCGGGAAGAAGTACAAAACAGGGGATGCCAGGAAGAAGGCTACCCCCGTTGTGGTCGTGGATGATCACTCCTCATCCGAGCCCCCTGTTGTGGTGGCGACAGCTCCTTCCACCCCCCCTCCGGTATAATTGGTTGAGGGTGGCTTCCCTCGGGAGACCATGCAGATCTCCATCTTTAAGGGGACCACCATCATGCACGACACCGTGCTCCCGAGGGAGTTCCTGAGGGGTGCCACCCCCGAGCTGGATAAGGCAGCCTTGAGCCGGCTTGAGGATGAAGCCCTCGACTCCAAGATCTCCCGGTCTTCTCTAACTGTAAGATCCCCATTTTCTTTGTTTCCTTGTCTATTTTCCTTAGCATACTTTGCATAATAGTCTAATCCTTTTGCTTCTTTTTCTTATAGGCTTGCATTGCCCTCGGAGAGCAGATTCGGAGGGTGGAAGAGTTGCGCCTTAGAAGGTGCAACAGGATGAGACTTTGAAGAAGCTCGTCCATGACAATGCCGCCACCGTGAGGGAGATGGCGCGACTGGAGGAGAGCCTTCGGCAAGCAAGGGCTGAAGCTGAAAAGGCCAGGACAGAGGCTAGGGCCGAGGGAATGGCCGAGGCTGAGAAGGCTGCCGCCGAAGCCGCCAAGAAAGCTGTTGATGAGGCTGAGGCGGCCAAGAGAGAGGTCGTCGTCAAGTCCCGGGAAGATGTTGTTGTTGCCTTCATTGCTGAGGGCTGGAAGGCTGAGGAGCAGAAAAAGTGGCTGGCCTCGGTGGTGGAGGCGTTAGTTGATGACTAGGTAGGTGGCCCCGGTGCTGAGTGGTTAGCCCGGAAGGGTAAGGACTACTACGATGGTGGGAAGTTCTTCACCCAGGCCCTCATCTATCGGAGGCTAACCCGACATTATGGGGTGGACCCGAAGGAGTTCGATCCAGAAGCCTACGGCCTTCCCCCCGTCAGCCAGAATATTCGCATCTTCCTCCCTCCGGATGCTGAGAGGCCGGACCTTGAAGACTCTGAGCTGATGCAGGAGGCTCAAGATGATGGAGATGATGCCGCCTCCCAGCCGAAGGAAGAGGGCACCGTTGAAGCGGGCAACACTTGATTTGTACTTGGATTTTTTTGTATTAGTTTGTACACAACAATTGCTTTTGGCTTCGGCCCATATGTTACCAACACTTGTATTATTTCGTTGTGAATGAATGCATGGATGCCTTCAGGCTTTTGATGTTTGAATTTACCTTCGATGTTTTCTGAATGAATGACTTCGCCTCCCTTTATGTTTTCTTCACAACTTTATGAATGTATATCTGTATCGTGAGTTGACGGAGGGCCAAATGTTTAGGACTTAGAAAAATTCAGTGACCTACTCAAAGTGTAGGCCTTCGGCACTGCTTGACGCGGCGAGGGGGGCATACTCATGGACTTAGAAAATTTTCTAAGCATTGTTCACCACTGGGCCCTCGGTTAATGCTTCTTTTAGTTGTGTGAATGTGATGAGTTGACCGAGGGCCAAAGATTTAGGACTTAGAAATTTCTCAAGTGATGTTTTACCACTAGGCCCTTGGTTGACATCTTACTTTAGCTGTATAAAATAGCTAGCCTTCGTCGTCTACCCCCGGGGGGACTGGTGTTGTGGGCTTAGCCGAATTTTATGTAATGTCATGAACATGCCCTCGGTTTGTAGCCGGTTTTAGGCAAAACTCCCCTCAACAAAGTGTGGTGGTGCTGGGGCCCCTAAACTCATGGACTTAGAAATTTTCCATTGAGTTTGTAACCAGTAGCCTCCTGTAGAAATGTGGAGTTAGTAAATCTCTGACCCACTTGTAGAATAGGAGCCTTCGGTGTAGATTGTAGTGTCGGAGGCTATAGGAGTGTGGATTTAGGAAACTTGAGCTCATGTTTGTGAGAATCCGCCTTCGGTAATGCCATTGGATGTAGTATACTTACTCAAACTTAGTCCATTTGTAGCATAGGACTTTGCAGGGTGTGCCTTCGGCATTGTTGGATTCCAAAGTTTGGACTTAGGAATTTTCCATTTGCAGACTTTGAAATCTTTAGCCCCACACATGAGGGTAGGTGACCTCCGGATTTCCTTCGGTGATACCTTCCAATATGATGGCTTAAGTGATTCCAACCTAATACATAAGGGCAGATGCCTTCGGTCCATGCTGAGATGAAGACTGATGTACAGCAAGAGCCTTCGGAGTTGGCCTCCAAAATGTAAACTTTGGAATTTAAGCCCCATATATAGAGTAGATGCCTTCGGTATTTGTTGAAATGTCGGAGGCTGCAATATAGTGGACTT